AATGTTCATCAAAACGATGTCGTTTTAGGACAGAAATCATGGTATTTTTGTAATTTTAATTTATTTCAGGGTTATAATAGTCTTTATCTCTCTAATTTTTTTAATTTTTTAACTCCAAAACGACGTCGTTTCGATGAACATTAGATAAAATTATCTAAAATAACATCAGAAACTTTTTTTCCCTTAAACAAATCCATTCCTCATCTTCAAAAGAAATCTTTAAGTTTGTGACAGGTATAAAACTCAGCATAATAAACCCAACACGTGGACCAGATTAAATAGTGATATACGAGATAAAATTGATTTTTTTAATAGAAAATAAAATAATCTTTTATAATCTTAAAATGATGTCATTTAGGTATTTAAAAAATACAGGATATTTTTAAAATAAAATACCTTTTATTTTTATTTTCTAAAATACTCTACGAATAAACCTAAAGTGCTCCTCCAACTGAAGTTTTAATTACTCTTTAAATGAATAAAATATCAATTATCAATTGTGTAGAAATTTAAATCACATAAGACACTTAAAAAAGCCTTTATAACTGAGAACTAATAGAAATCATAAATAAATACTAATTAAATACATACTATTAACAAAATATGATTTTTTATAAAAAAATTTAAAATATCATTAAAATAACATAAATAATTCTTATCTATTCTATACCATCATGATATTGGAACAGTACCCAAAGTGTCATGTTTGGACAAAACAATTACCAGACTGCCACGCCAACAGTAAATTTTGCCAAAATGTCACGCGGCATAATTTGCTACACAGTGTAGTGAATTATGCCACGTCAGAACCAAAAATGTCACATGTCAGATTTTGCAAAATTCGCTACATAGGGTAGCGAATTTTGCAAAATTTGACATGTATCATTTTTGGTTCTGACGTGGCATATTTCGCTACACTGTGTAGCGAATTACTTGTATACATAATTCACTACACTGTATAGCGAATTATGCCGTGTGATATTTTGACAAAATTTACTGTTGACGTGACAGTCTGGTAATTTTTTTGTCCAAACGTGACAAAATAGTCACTCTCCCTGTGATATATTCCCTGAGGAATGTCCCAACTAACCCGGGGATATGCTTTTTCGATGTCTATGTTAAACGCCACTACTCCTTTCTTCAGCTTTGTTTCTTACCAGCAAAGTGCTGAGACGCGATATTTTTTCCGCTACACAGAGTTTCTTTATTGGGAACAGATAGCTATATATGTCTTGTCTACTGTATATAAACGTCGATTTCCATGATGTTTGATGTGTAAATGTAGTTTGGTCAATGCTGAAACTGTATAACAGTATTATGACTTCGCAAAATTATGTGAGTGGTCAAACCACAATGCTTTTTACATTTCCGATGTATAAATAGAAGGATAATATTTTAACTGACGAGCTTAAGGGCTCCTTTCATAGACGAAATAAGATAAGGATAAAATATGATACGAGGCTAATAAGAATAAGATATGATATGGAGTTGATAAGTCTATATCATGTCATATGTTTCATGAGCATCTAATTAGCAATATAATAAGATTATGTAGAAGGAGATAGGAGAAAGAAAAAAATTATAATACAATAAATACTATTATATTGAGTAGCGTGTGGATATATTGGGTAGCTTGGAGATATATTGGGTATTCAATATTAGTATCCTATCCTGTTGAATCCTAACTCAGCTCCTCTCGTAGGATAAGAAATCATGTATTGGATAGAATAAAATGAGACAATAGGATAAGCTAATCATATCCTATTGACCCATCAAACAAGAAATAAAAATAGGATATGATAAGTTATCATATCCTATCTTCTTTATCAGGTGCTCCAAACATACTCTAAATCTCTTTGAGGAACAGTGATTAAAATGTCATTGTTCTCAAAATTATTTGTCAATATGTCATGTGAATAGTAAAAATTTTAAAAATGTCACGCATACAATTTCGTTATAGTAGATATCGAACTTCGATTGTTGATATGACAATCACGTGTATAATTCACTACAGCAAGTAATGAATTAGGTAGTCAAAATATAAGAGAAAAGTTCGCTATGCATAATAGCGAACTACCTTCTAATAATATTTGCCTACTTAACTTCTATGCTGAATATGCTGACTTTTAAGCTGACATTTTTGCTACTGTACAATGGTTTTATGGTGAAGTTGAAACAAAGAAATGAAAAGAAAACAATTTTTTCAATCAAAGCAAAGGAGGAGCAGGTCACAATTTTTATGGTGGTATTTGGATAAAAAATTTGGTGAACAGTGATATTTTGGTCAATGTTCTTCTTATTTATAGGATAAAATTTAAAATATTTTAGAGACGTTTGGTAGATAAAAAAAAAATTTACTGGAAAAAAATGAATTCCGAAAATATAGTGGTAAATTTTTCCCCCAAAAAGGTTATTAAAAAGTATTTGATAGGTCAATTTTTTTTCCAGAAATATTGGGTTAATTTTACTAATGCTATATTTGGTTGATTGTAAAATATTAATGAGAATCTGAACTAAAATTACAAAATTACCGTGCAATTTTCATTTTAACTCTGCATTCTCTCTCTCCAGGGTCATTTATAACTTTACTTAATTGATTAGACATTTGACAACATTGCATGTGGTGGGATTTTTTTTTTCATCCCAACAATAAAATCTTTGATAACAAATTCATGTAGAAAAAGAACAGTGACCATTGTGCCACTGTTCACCAACTTTTTTTACTTAAATGTCACGCGAACAGTCTTATTTCCCAATCTGCCACGGGGGCAAGTTCGCTTCTGACACAAGCGACCTCGGTTTGCTGATGTGTCAGCTTTCTGGTGGTGTCAGAGTTCGCTTCTGACACAGGCGACCTCGGTTTCAATAATATTTTAACCAAGTTCGCCTACCTTTTTGAATTTTTTTTTTAAAAATTTAATACGTGTTATCCACTAAAAATGTGACACGTCAGCAAACCGAGGTCGCTTGTGTCAGAAGCGAACTTGCCCCCGTGGCAGATTGGGAAGTAAGACTGTTCGCATAGCATTTAGGTAAAAAAGTTGGTGAACAGTGACATTTTAGTCAGTATCCCGGTAGAAAAGCAATTTTCGGGAAAAAATACAGCCGGATATCTCTTATCATTTTTGCTATCAAACGTGACTTTTTTATTTTTCCTAGCAGGCTTTCCCATATTTTTAAAAATAATCACCGTAACCAACGCCCAGTATCTATCATATCCCAATTGAACATTGTATAATACAGAATTATATATTAGATAATCAAACAAAATATTAATAATCTTGAGATAAAACAATAGCAACCAATATTCTTTAATTATATTATCAAATTTTTATTTGTAACTATATATTTGGTTACATCATCATCATTATTATTAAATATTTATATTAATTTTTTGATGTTTATAAAAGTATATTATAAAACTCTTTCGAAAGAAACCTGTTTTACTCTCTTAAAAAGCATCCAGTTTCCGATTAAGTCAGATTTGGTTCCTATTTATTCCGTGACCGTCTATGTAAGATTTGTTTCACTTAAAATTACTTGCGGCGTGTATCTGTTAGAAAAATATAAAAGTAATAATATAATTTCATTCAATAATTTAAATTTTTGGGTTGAATTAGTTACTTACATGATATCAGAGCTTTGGTGTTAGAATTCGATCCTCACCGCCCTCATTTAATTAAAAAATAATTAAGTATTATGAAATTTTTTAACATAAGTAGATGACTGCATTGTCCATCATTCAAATTCAGTGGACTTTCGTGTGAGGAGTCATATTAGAAAAATATAAAACCAATAATATTTCCTCATCCAATAACTTAAATTTTTGGAGTGAATTGGTTCTTTATAGTATGAAATAAGTATTATTACATTAATATTAACATTGAAATTAAATTTTCATTATACGCAATTTTTTGTTACTTTTTCTTCGTAAAATACTTCGTTCTAAGGAAATAGAGAATTGTAAATTTGTGGACAAGACAAGTGCTAAATGCAATTAATTTGGGGGGGTTTGTTTGGGATCTTCAGCTCGCATTAACATAATTTTGTTAGTTATTCAGACACGTTTAGATCTTTAATTTGTTAGTTGATTCTTTTTTACCAGCAAAAACCAAAAAAATCTAGCCAACCTGAAAATACCCGTCACTAGGGGAAAGATTCAATTCAATGATAGATAGTAGAGACGAGACTAGCTTAAGCTGAGAATGGGAGTGAAGCCCCATTAGCCATATCTCTCTCTCTCTCCCTCTCTCTCTCCAAACTTAATAAGATGCGTCAGCTTCCTGGATTCTACTTCCATCGTGTGTTGGGCACAAAAATCACAACCGTATGGCACGAGATGGGCAGGTCCAGAGTAAGATGGAATATCATTTATTATTTATTTATTATTATTATTATTCAGCTAAGGGAATAATGTTCTAAGTTGAGGGCCCATCCCACTAATCTTGTGCACTATTCAGGTCTTCTGAATGGGTCCCCCCACCAGCTAGTGCAAAAGAATGAAAATGTTTTCTTGACACCTAAAATCTTACACTTCTAGTTAAGCTCGTTAATTTTTTTAAAAGAAAGAAAATACATGTGGTTTATTTAAAAAAAAATGTTTTTTTTTTCCTAAATATAAAAAATAACATAGTTCAAAGAATAATGATCCCCCATACCACGTCATTCAATCCTCCTCCGATCACACACACATATCAAACAAACAGGCTTATGCAAATCCTTTATATAAAGCCATATTCATTAACAACACTTTCGTAGGTTCCAGCATCAACACTACTCACCCAATTCCCCACCCTAGCTTATCCCTTCCCATTTTCTCAACCGTCACCGCCTCTACCCTTTCCATTATTACTAGTTAAACACTTTTCAACAACAGAACCGCCATTCAATTTGGCAACATATATACCAATCGAGCTAGTTACCAAAGCATATTTCCATTTAAGTTACATAAACTATAGCTAGCTAGCACCTCCTACACGCACACGCACACGCACACATAACCGTGCCCAAAACGCATCACATATACATGGGTAACACAGATTATGATTACCCTTCGGTCATAAACGTTGAGGGCGTGCACCGTGTGGCCATCCCTCCACCTCAACCGTTCTTTAAGTCTCTCAAGAACTCTCTGAAAGAGACCTTCTTCCCAGATGACCCATTGAAAAAGTTCAAGGACCAACCAGCCTCCAAGAGGGTCGTGCTTGGCTTTCAATACTTCTTCCCAATGTTAGAGTGGGCACCACAATACACCCTCCAATTCTTGAAATCAGACCTTATAGCTGGCATCACCATTGCTAGTTTGGCTATTCCTCAAGGCATCAGTTACGCCAAGCTAGCCAACCTCCCTCCAATTCTTGGACTTTGTTAGTATATAATTAACTTGCTATACTCAATACAATACTCATCATATATATAATAAACTAAATAGCTATCTAGTACTCAAGTCATCATATAATAAATATATATATATATACACTTTTGTCAATTTATTTATTGTGTTTTTTTTTTCTTATGGATTTTGATATAATGTGGAAATTAAATATATATGAATGAATGCAGATTCGAGCTTTATACCACCATTGATTTATGCCATGATGGGAAGTTCCAGGGATTTGGCAGTGGGAACTGTGGCTGTTGGATCGCTTCTCATGGCTTCCATGTTGGGTCGTGAGGTTAATCCCAACCAGAACCCAACACTTTTTCTCCACCTTGCTTTCACAGCTACATTCTTTGCTGGAGTTTTGCAGGCATCACTGGGTCTGTTTAGGTAATTCATTATATATAGTTCTACTTAGCAATATGTATATCAGAAAAATATTTATGCAATTACTGCAGATAAGTTATCTGCATTTATTTTCAAAACAACGTTGTTTTGTATTCAAATATTAAAAAATTATAATTATAAAGATTACAATAATTCTGAAATAAATTAAAATTATAAAAACACCATTATTTTCGTCCCAAAATAACATCGTATTAGACTTACTACAAAGAATTCATTAACTGCAAAAAAAAAAACGAATCCTGTGTATATAGTCGGTTGAATGATAACATTGAAAATCCCATAAATATATAGCCTAGTAGTATAATGACAATAGCAATAATTAATTAGACACTAAAATATGAATGGATTTAATTCGGACAATAAATTTATTAAAGTGAAATTAAAATGAAAATGAATGACATGTTATTGATAGTATCTTTAAAACTTAATTTATGTGTAGAGGACACTATTTTCTGCATATCCGTACATATGCTGGAGTTTTTTTTTGTCTTTTTCTATTTGTTTACTTGAAACTATTTTTGCTTTGTGATTTTGAGATCCCCAATAAACGGTACACATATCTTGTTATACAAAATTAAATACTGAAATCGAGTTGTAAAGTGCGATTGGCCTATTATTGCTTTCAATTTCATATATTGATGTTAAGTAGTACAGTAGTAATTTTAAATAGTGTCGATGATTGACCTTCACTATCTATATAAATTTTCCTTGACATAACATTAATTATCAATCTTTCTAATTAATAACATTATATGTTTTGTTTTTCTGAATCATTAACCATGTGAAACCCTGGAGGAGTGCAGGCTAGGGTTTATCGTGGATTTTCTGTCACATGCAGCCATAGTAGGGTTCATGGGAGGAGCAGCCACGGTGGTTTGCCTGCAACAGCTAAAATCGATTCTGGGCCTTGAGCATTTTACCCACGAGGCAGATCTCGTGTCAGTAATGCGCTCTGTTTTTACCCAAACTCATGAGGTACGAGTACAAATTAAAACACCAACACTACAGCTAGCTAGCTACTTGTCCTCTTCCTCCTCTCCCCTCCTCTGCTGTGTTTTTTTTAAAATCACTACAAGACACAACATTACCTGCCACCACGCACCATCTTCACCAACATATATATAGCTTTCAAACTCTTTAGAGGTCCTTTGTTATATTGATTTCTTTTGGATTTTCAAGAAACTGTTATTAAAAATCCTATTTATCTATATTTGGCAGAAGATTTCTAAAAATTTTTAGGAGGGTGTTATTCTTGGAATCTCGGATATTGGAAAAATTTGATATTGTCAATAATATTTAACAAATAACCAAATATATAATCATTAAAATTGAGCTAATATTCTAAGTAATATTTTTACCTACCAAATAATTTTTTGGTCACATTTTCGAAAAATTCATTTTTTCAGCATATTCTTTGTAATCATGATTTCCGAGAAAAAAAAAATTTCTTCTCTACTAAACACCCTATTCTCTTTTATTTTATTTTATTTAAAAAAAATCTTGTTCTTTGCATATTTCATTTTATATATCATTTAAAAATAAGTTAAAATAAAGTATTAATTCAATGAGTAATTTATAATATACTTTGTTAGCCAAAATTTGAGTCATCCTTAGCTAAAACTTAGTAGAGTGGAAATATTGTACACCACTGATGTTCTCAAATGATTTTTCTAAACTAATTGATTGGTTGAATGTGGCATAATTTTGTTTGCTTATTTATTTATCTATTTCAGTGGAGGTGGGAAAGCGCTGTGTTAGGATGCTGCTTTATTTTCTTCCTTCTCATCACAAGATACTTCGTGAGTGATATGCCTAACCCATACCTTAATTAATTATTCTACATATATGTTTCACATTCCATGTTTCACATATTGTAACTAACTAATTAAACAAAGAAAAAGAAACATAGCCAAACGTTAAATTCATACCAAGAGCCATGACTTTAACTGTAAAGGGATAAGATCCTAATCCCATACTTATTTTCTTTACATTTATTAATGCCAGATATTTCTGGGAAAGGGATTTTAAAATCAACTTATTCTTTTGATTATTTCTATTTTCAACTTTTGAATGGCTCTATTTCAGTCCTAATTAACCTACCCATGCATCCTCATTTAAAGTCAGCGAATTTTCTCAGAAGCTGACATTAAATCCTTCTTTTCGTGATGTTTCCCAATTAACAACGGCCATGACAAAGTAGTAATATACTATACTATAAATTATTATAAATAATATTTTTTCCACTATACTATTAGTTACATATAATATTATTGCAGCCGAAATAATTAGACAATTGTTTACATTCGATTCCCACTTCAGAACAAATATTAAAAGGACTTAATTGCCTTCAGGATGCTATTCTATTATGATTATTATTATTATTTTAAAAAAGTGCATAAATGATTTGATTAAAACTTTTATTGTAAGAAAATTGCTTACTTGAACTTGATGTGGTAATGATATTGAGTTTAATGAAAATAATGAAGTGATTGTAATTTGGGACTGTGATGGCAGAGCAAACGACAACCGAAGTTCTTCTGGGTGTCAGCAATGGCGCCTTTGACGTCCGTTATATTGGGCAGTTTGCTAGTTTATCTCACACACGCCGAGAAGCACGGCGTTCAAGTGGTGAGTATTTCCAAGTTCCAAACGCTCCTTTTTCATAACGCACTCGTGACTACACAGTACACACAGCCAAACACGGTATTACGTATTAGTGCTGCTACACTTATAAGATTAGGACAGACACTAGGGCCCTTTTGGGCTCTTGTCATTGGCCCAATCCGTAATCATTGTCTTGACCTACAACAACAACAACAGGAAACACCACCACTTTGGGGGACCCTTCAATGCAAGTCGCCATTGGGCCCCACTCACTTCATTCAATGACTACTAGAATGATTAGTGTTCTCTTGTTATTATTACTTATTAATTGTATACAATAATTCAATCATACCATTAAAGAATTTCATTATGATAATAGTAATAATTAAAAATAATGTAAATTTTCTAATACTACACCAAAATTAAATTCACTAACTACTGTTTTATTTTGTGAAGTCAAGTGATATATATATATTTTTTTTCAAATCTTGTTTCAGATTGGAGAATTGAAGAAGGGGCTAAATCCACCTTCGGTCATGGATTTGGTGTTTGTATCGCCTTATATGAGCACAACTATCAAAACTGGACTTATTATCGGCATTATAGCGCTTGCGGTAATTATCTCTCAAATCTCATTTAATTTGGTACAAGGCAAGTGTTACACAAGTGAGAGGATGCTAATTATTCATGAACAAATTAATAGTGATAGGAGATGATAGAAAAAAAATTCTTAGGATACGGAGTGAAAAAATTATTATATTGATTTGTCCAGTTCCTATCGTATGATATGATCATGTTAAATAACACATAAGTCACGAGAAGATACATTTGTATTAATAATAGTTGAAGATATAAATCTCAACTCTTATTAATCACAACATTAGCAAAAGGAGAAATTTAACCAATGAAAAAAAAAAAAAGGAGAGAAATGATAGTCAAGTAATAAAAGTTTTGGTCTAATCATGTGCTTCTCATTTCCAAAGGTTGAAATTTGAAATATCCAATTTAGTGCAATTGTGTTTGGTCTTTGAACAGTTGAAAGAAGATTTGATACTATTAGTTATGTCGATAATATCCGGAGTACTGAATTGGTGATCGTATGCAGGAAGGAATAGCAGTGGGGAGAAGCTTTGCAATGTTTAAGAATTACCATATTGATGGCAACAAAGAGATGATAGCTATTGGGACCATGAACATTTTTGGTTCGTTCACCTCTTGTTACCTCACAACAGGTAATTGTTTCATTATTAATTATATTAGTATCAAATGACTAGATAGGGTATGCTGCACATACAAGCTTGGAGCTTTACCTCAACCAGATAGTATAATACCCTTTTCTTGTTCTGCGTTGTTTCTTGAGCTCTACAAGCTAATCTTCATTCTTCACACTTCACATAGAATTAGAAGAAGAAAAACAAATTAATCAACCAATTTCCTGCACCAATTGCTAACAAATTTGGCATAAAAAATGAATGTTGTTTCAGGACCATTTTCGCGTTCTGCTGTGAACTACAATGCCGGTTGCAAGACAGCAGCATCAAACATTGTAATGTCAATTGCTGTCATGTTGACATTGTTATTCTTGACACCCTTGTTCCATTACACTCCCCTGGTGGTGCTATCAGCCATCATTGTTTCTGCAATGCTCGGGCTCTTAGATTATCAAGCAGTCATCCATTTGTGGAAAATTGACAAATTTGACTTTTTAGTGTGCATCAGTGCATATATTGGCGTAGTCTTTGGGAGTGTTGAGATTGGCTTAGTTATAGCAGTATGTATCACTGTGCTCCTAACTCTCCCCCTCTGTAGACTTTTGTAGTAGCTAATTTTGGGTTTTAATATAAGGTTGTTGAAATTAACATGTGCTCTTTGTGAATATTCAGGTTGCAATATCATTACTTCGAGTACTACTATTTGTTGCAAGGCCGAGAACATTTCTTTTAGGCAACATTCCAAATTCGGTAGCATACAGAAATGTAGAACAATATCCAAATGCAAGTCATATTCCTGGAATCCTGATTCTTGAAATTGATGCACCCATTTACTTTGCCAATGCAAGCTATTTAAGAGAGAGGTAAGCTACTAGCGGATTTACAGTTTTGCTCTTAATTGCATGCAAAAAATACTGGCCTCCAATGAAATTAGAAAATTACCTTAAAACTTTGTTCATAGGATCACAAGGTGGATTGATGAAGAGGAAGACAGAATAAAAACTTCAGGGAAAACCAGTTTGCAGTATGTTATAATGGATATGACTGGTAAGTTATTGATATATAAGAAATGTAGTAATTAACAATCTGGTTAGTAAGAATTATAGTCTAACTTGCAGTGTAATTTTATTTGCAGCTGTTGGGAACATTGATACAAGTGGAATAAGCATGCTTGAAGAGTTCAAGAAGACTAATGACAGAAGAGGGCTACAAGTAATTATTTCTATCTCGTGTTATGTTCTAATTTTGTAGTAACATTTATCGTAGTTTAGAGCTCTTTAAATTGATTTTTTGTAATCATGCTTCCTATGTTTTTAGCTAGTTTTGGTCAATCCTGGAAGCGAGGTTATGAAGAAGCTGAACAAATCAAAGTTCCTTGATGAATTGGGGCATAAATGGATCTATCTGACAGTTGATGAGGCTGTTGGAGCATGCAACTTCATGCTCCATACATACAAACCGAACCACGTGAAAGATGAATCAGGGGGTTGTAACAGTGTCTGAGCCATGCAATAAAGCAGTGTTTGATCAAGTAAAGCTTACAAGTTTTCATCTCAGCTAAGTTACCTTTCACAGTATGTGGCATTAGAGTTTGTGAATCATGCTGCAGAAGATTTAGAGGCATAAAAAAGTGAAACGTTGCTTGGGTATTTTAATTTTTCAAATTTTCATCCTTAGTTGGAAGAAAGTTTCCAATACAGGCTATTGGATCATTATGTATCACGCTTGATAATCTATTGAAATGAAAAGTAGCTGCAACTAGAATTGAGTTGTGTTCCTTTGGAAATGTCCTAGAGCTGATCACAATTCACAAGGTCTCAAGCTTAGTACTTGTAGGAATTATGCGCATGTACCTGACCTTACTTGGGGAGGGAACAAATTTCTTTCGGTTTAAGGACTTAGCAGGGAGGAAGAAAAAATAGTGACTTTAGATAAAGTTATTTACCGCTATCCTTTATAACTATGTACTATCCATAGTAGCTATAGATAATTTTGTCTAAAATAACTGTAGAAATATTTACCTTTATAAATTGATGAGATGATCGTTCGTAACTCTAATAAATTTATAGTGATTCGATAAGTGTTCATTCATAAATTAAAAGCCTAAAATATTATAAATTTTCAGTACCTTGCAATACAACTCAGTGTAAAGGGCCGACCCAGTTCAAATACCTACTTCGTGAGTGTCTGGGGAAGGGAATACTCTAGGCAGTCTTTCCCCTGCTTTTTGCAGAGAGGCTGATTCGAACCCGCGACCTGACACACCACGGCAAGCAAGCTTACCGCTGAGCCAAGCCGGCCCTTCAATACAACTCAGTGTAACAATTTAAAAATATAATTCACATAAGTGCATTGGTTTCACTTATTTCTTTATTTTTAATGTCATATGCATCCAAGTATTTCTAATTTTAGTAGAAGAGTACGAATCATAGAAATATTGAAAGTTTATTTGTGCCATATTATTTTCATTATAAATATCTCATTTGCAATCCCATTAAATTGCTAAGAAAATATTACAACTAATTGGGAATTACCAATATATATTTGGTTCCTGATTTAGTTTTTAAGGAGTTTCAATGAAATTTCAAACTTCAAAGTTTTTTTACGGGAAATGTAATTCTCTTATCTAAAAGTTTTTTTAAGGGATATTAAATAAGTAGAACCCAGTAAAATTTGTAAAAATTTATCAAAAAAACAGATAGACATAAAATATTTATACAAAGAGATGATGTGAAAATCTAGATTATTACAAATTCATAAATTCCAAATAGAATTGAAAAAGAAGCCAAAAAAGAAGAATAAGATTTCTCTCTCTCTCTTTTCCCTCTTTCTTTCTTTGAGTTAGTCTATGCAAATGAGGGTTAGCCCATCTATAATTATACTACCTTTTTCAGGTAAAAATTACTACATATTTAATTTGAAAATTTTAACTTAATTAAGACTCGTTTGAATTAAATTTTTTTAACATAAAGAATTTAATTTTAAGAGAATTAATTTATTCTTAAAGATGATATTTAAAAAAGTATTTATGAAAAACTAATTTTGTCTAGATGGTGTCAAGTGAAAATGCTTTTAGACATAGAATTATAAAATGATTAATATTAATTTATTTTATTTTAACTTTGAAGGCGATAGGACAAAAGACAATAGTTGCAAGAAAGGTAATATATTAAAATTATTTTTCCTACAAGTTATATCAAATATTTTTTAGATGAATAAGGATATTTAAAGTGATTTTATTTATAAAATGCTCAAATAGAAGTGTATCTATAATTTAATTTAACGTGCATCATCAACTTAATGTACTAAAATTCAAAAGTAAATGCAATCTTGTGCATTTTATAGATAAATGCACTTAAGATGATTTTTTTTCCTTCTAGATTAAAAAAAAGCAACTAAACAACATGAACAATAATAGGCGAGTAAAAAATCATTCCTGTTTGTTTGAAATTCTATTTATCACAGTTGACATACAAAATGTTCATACTTTTCAAGGAACGTTCAACAAAAAGAAAAATAAAATTCTTCCTGTCAAACACTGAGTGCATGTTTAGACTAGATTATTTTGGGAAAATAACACTACTAAAAAAAGCTCTATTTTCAACGGAATTTTTCCGTTGGAAATTATGAAAATTCCGTTGAAAAATCAGCTTTTGACGGAATTTACGACAGAATTCTGCTGTTGGATAACCCTTCGTCGAAAGGCAACGAAATTTTTTTTTTCCGTTGAAATTTACAACGGAATTTTTTTCCGTTGAAAACTTCAACGGAATGTATTCCGTTGGAAGCTTTACTTCTCCGTTAATAAATAAAGTCATGAAATAATAATAAAATAATAAATTCCGTCAAAAATTTCAACGAAAAATATATCCGTCAAAAAATTCTGTCTCAATTTGCAACAGAAATTAACAAAAATTCCGTTGAAATTTTTGACGAAATTAATTTTCGTTGAAAAATTCCGTCATTATTTTCGACGAAATTTAACTATAATTCCGTCGATAATTGCAATAGAAAAAATATCCGTGAAAAAATTCCGTTGTAAAATTCACTGAAATTTAGCTACAATTCCGTTGAAAAGTTCCGTTTCAGTTTCCAACGGAATTTATTTATAATTCCGTTGAAAATTCTTAACCGTTTACAACGGAATGTACATAAAATTCCGTCGAAAATAATATTTTTAATTTTTTTTAAAAACATTAAATTCATATGGAAACAGAATTTGTCCGTCCCTAATAGGATCAAAATATATCCTTCCCAAATTTTGTCCCTAATTTTTTTTTTATTTAATAAAAATATTTCAATTTTTATTTAAAAAATATCCCTAATTTTTTTAGCAACAAAAACTGTAATATAGAAATAAATTGAAAAGCAATAATATTTTTTTAAAAATAGCTACCAAAAGTTGAATATATATTATCATGATGTCCTAAAAAAATCATTCCATACATTAAATAATTGTCAAGCTTGTCCAATACCAAATTACAACATAAATAATATGACCTATAAGTATTACATAGGAATTATCCGTCGTTCTGCGTGTTTTATCCTCACTTAACAAAAAATTAGCAATCTTTTCTGCTAAATTGAACAACTTTTTCTTTGAACTTTCATTGTTTTCCTTATCATCTTCAACTTTTTTTTGTCTTCATGGTAAATTTAGTTGGTCGTATCTGATTTTCAGATGAGGCATTCAAATTCCATATATAAGTTGCACCTGAACCCGAAACTGCCAAGACAACTAAATCATCTTCATTGCAACCATGTTGGCATGCAAAAATTAATGGAGGATGCCTCATGGTAAGTGTAGGACCAATACTCATAGTTCTGCAATCAAGAATACACATTAAACGGTGATCATATAGTTATAAAGTTGGATTTCATAAACACCAAACCAATCCTCACCTTCCAAAACCAGGGCAACACCCCATAGAACAAAATTGTGGAATCCATCACTATTGTCACAAACCCATGAAGAAAATGGAAGTGGATGAACAAAGTAAACAAATAGCCATGAATAAGAATACTAGCAAGACATCCCAAAAGCAACCTTCAGAATGAGATACCAAGTACAAGCATCCAACTGCATAAGAAATTCCATGAAACAAAAGAACAAACCTTTTATCTAGACTATAGGCTCTAGATTTCTGAAATTTATCTAATTTGATTACTCCAAGAGTTTTTGCAAGAGTAGGAAGTTTGAGTGCCGCATGTTGTCGCACATCCAAGTAAGTTTCAAAAAAGTACATTAATATCATAAACCCTGGAAATGAATTAGAAGAAAACAGCAAATCAGGTAAATCTGATATTTTATGTCCAGTGGCAAAACAGTTAAATATTAGCAGAAGAGTACATGATTAACAACATTAGAGAGTCAATACTATATCAAATAAATAATAATGAATAATCTCAATCTAACACGGTAACCCATATATTAGCAAACTAGACCATTATCATGTTTTTCTTTCTTTTTTGTGAAAGGCTACTATAATGTTTTTCCTTGATTTTTTTTTTCTTTTTTATGGAGGGGGGAGCAAGGAAGCATGGAAAGGACAAAAGGGGTCTCAAAATAACAGAAATTAAAGGAAGCTTACACTATTTAAAATAGCCTTACGTGTTGGAGAGGGAAACCTACCACAATTTCCAGGGAAACCTACCACACCCCATAAAATTTATGTTTCTTACTATCCATAGACGCAGAGGTCGTAGTTCAAACAATGGAGTAATAACTTCTAACATTAATTTCCTCATTCTCAATTTATAACCAAAACAATATTCTTCTCTACCATTCTTAACATAAGAAATAAACGAATACAAGTAGGTTCCAAGTGCCAGTGAAAGAGAGAGAGAAATTAGATGAGAGGGAAACACACACAATTTATAACCAAAATCCCAGACAACGATGCAAAGAACTGCAATGCAACTCAGCCAGTAGCATCAACAGCATAAGAAGAAGAAGAAGAATCAGTTGTTAACCTGGTCAGAAAATTAGATGAGACAAATAATATGAGGTAATAAATTTTGGTCTTTCAACGTGTGTCACCCAAGTAATAAATTTTATAAGTCACCAACAACTGCTTAATTGAAATAGAAGTTAACTAAAGAAGCAACACAAGCACTAGGAATATATGCATCTTTAGATTCCATCTATTCATATTTTTTTCTCTTCATATTTAGATTCTGTTTCTGCCACCTACTGGATTAAAGTTACTAATAATCTCTCTATCTGTTTCTTTTCATATTTGGCTAGAGATCTCGTCATTTAAGTATTACCATGAAAAGATTTGCACACAAACACCAGTAGCTAGATTCTTAACCAAACCAACCAGTGAGGTTCTGAACAAAGTATTTATTGAACATTCAGTCCTAATAACATCAAATATAAAGGGAAGAATTCAGATTCACTAAGTGAGATAAATTCGATGCATACGTTAACAAACACCTTATATATATATATATATATATATATATATATATATATATATATATATATATATATATATATATTAGCATCAGGAATCTACAAACTAATTTGTACAGCATAATTATGAGAAACTATTGCTTGTCTAAGTTGAAGGTGCAAAAAAAGTACCTGCATATAACTTGCAACCTGGCGAGTTTTCAGG